CCCGATGTTGACTTAAATTATGACTGGATAGCTACATCAAAAAAGTATGAGCATTATGGATCCATTGCAGATTTTGAAAATTTCATAGACGTGCAAAAGAAGAATGACAGCACATCAGCAACTCATTACCAGCCATTACATTCCAATGTAAAATGGAGCGAAGATCAAATGGCTGTTATTAATCAAATTTCCCATCAGATTCATGAGATTAAATCCATGACACCACAAATTTCAAAAACAATGATTGTGCAGGGGAGAGCAGGTATTTAAATTAGAATTTAATACTTATGTTACAAATGATGAATTCTGTTGATTGAGCTTCTGTTCATTCATACAGGAACAGGAAAAAGTATGATCATCAAATGTTTAACCAGTTTATCACATGAGCATCTTGGCAGCAACTCTTACATTCTTGCAGCGTCAACTGGTGTATCAGCTGTTCTAATAGATGGAAAAACAATGCATTCTGTATTCCAACTGCCAACAAAAAGTCAAGATTACAGTCCTCTCACAGGAGACAGAGCAAAAACCCTATCAGACACATTGGAAAACGTGAAGTTTGTCATACTTGATGAATACTCCATGATAGGATGGAAGACTCTTGCGATGATCAGTAGAAGATGCAAAGAAGCAACAAGAATTACTGATGAAGACTTTGGAGGTTTAAATGTTGTACTACTAGGCGATATCAATCAGTTGCCACCTGTAAAAGACAATCCATTATATGCCAGAATGTGTAGAACAAATTTAGCATTGGAGGGAAAATCAATTATTAAAAATTTTCACAAAAAATTTCTACTTACATCATGCCATCGACATAATGATGAACGTTTCTTGAAAATGCTGAACAACCTTAGTGAATATAATGTCACCAATGATGACTTTCACTTAATACGTTCACGTTTCAGTACAGCAGTTTCCACTCAAGATCAGGAGCAATTCACCATCCCCAACGCCCTTCATCTTTTTTCAAGCAAAGAAGATGTGAAAACTTATAATATGAAAAAACTACCCCAATTGATTGATGAAGAAACTGGCGATTATGCACCTATTATAAAAATAACGGCAAAAGACAACTGTTCAAATGCACAACAGATACAAGAAGCTGAAGGATTACAAAGAGATTTATACGTGGCTAAAAATTGTAACATTACGTTAAAAACCAATCTATGGGTTGATAAAAAATTGGTGAATGGAACTCAGGGAAAAATTATTGACATACTGTACAACAGAGAAGATTTCCCTGCTGTAATTCTATGTGAATTTCCAAATTACACAGGACCATCAATCATACCTACCAAAATTGTGCCAATAAAACCAATGCTGAATTCATGGACAGATTCAAATGAGAAAAAATGCACTAGATATCAATTTCCGTTATGTTTGTGCTATGCATGCACAATTCACAAATCCCAAGGAATAACAATTGATAAGGTACACATTTAAGACGCTGTAACTAATATTATCTGTACTCTCATGCTTCAATATTTAAAGAAATTGTGTTTACAGGCTGTGATTGACGTAGGTGAAAAGGATTTTGCACTAGGCCTAACGTATGTAGCATTTTCTAGAGTAAGAAATTTTACTGACCTCATTATTTATCCATTTTTACCAAAAAGATTGTTGAAACAAAGTCATTCAATAAATGAAACTTTGGTAAGCAGAAGAATTTTTGGCTGAGCGATTAGCGAAGCCTATTACTCCACTGATGATCAAAAAGTTTCGCGTCTGTTTGTCTGTGTGTCTGTTTGTCTGTACGCACGATAACTCGAGAACGAATTGAGCTAGCAACCTGGGATTTTCAGGGTTGTTTTGTGTCATAAAAAGACAGATCGAGTTCGAAGAAGAGCTTTCTAGCACAAAAATTGGATTTTAAAAAAATCGAAAACCACAGGTCCTCAAAATGACATTTTTTAAAAACATTTTTTCAATGTTTTCTAAGGGGAAACTCATGAAAGTAGAGCCTTTTGGCCGAAAATTTCATCTGTTTGGCTCTATCTCTAACCGTTGAGGCGCTAGAGGGTGTTTTTGACGAAAAGAAGCGAAAAAATGTACAACCGTGCATGCTTAGTCAAAGTGACGGGCCGTTGACGGGCCGGAGGCCCATATCTTTGTGTACACTTTTGAACTACCCGACTCGGGTGTCAGCGCCGCAGGCCTAGGAAGATGTATGCCAGGCGCGTCGCAGCGTAACAGTGTTTCGTGAGATATCGCGAAGCCTGTTACGCGAGA